CGCCGCGCCGCCCCGCCCCCTCGGGTGGGTCCTCGGCTCACAACTGCCCGCCCCACGGGTTATTGATTCCCAGGCGGGCCTGAAGGAAATGGAGGGAGGCCGGCACGTGAGACCCAAAACCAAAGAACCGAGAAAAGATGGGCAGGGAGGGACGTAATCGCCGGGAAGCGATCACCTCTCCCAAGCTGTGATCAGCGGCCTCAGCGTGCACCAAGGTGAGACACCGTGGCGCATTTTCGCCGCTTCAGACCCCAATCGAAACCTGTCTTCATGCCAATGCCAAGCGTGGGCCGGACTCCTCACGGCAGCCCTCGCCACCCCAGGGCCCGCCAATCTCCAGCCGAGTCCGGGCTGGGACTAGGAGGGAAGCCAGGCCTCTCAACCTGCGCACCGCGGTGCGTCGGCACCCGGCCTGCCATCGCGAACGAAACGTGGACTCCCACCAAACCCCTCCCGCCGGCCAGGAGCATCAGCAGGTCCCAGACGACGGGGGGACTCTCTGACTTACGCAGTCCTCTGAGAAATTACCTTTGAACTGGCCTTCTGAGAGCCGCCTGGCGTTTTGTCCGCCATCTTGAGCTTTGCCCCTCCTTCGGCGGCGGCAGCAGCGCCGGCGAGTCGAGCGCCGAAAGAGTGGATCGCAGCGCAGCCCGCCAGAACGTCTGCAAGGCTGAATAGTCAACTGCCGAGATGGTGTTCCAGCTCGTGTGCACATGAGTTCCGGAGTCTCCTTTTCCCGGCCCCGCCCACTACGCTGGTTTTTCTGGTTGTCTCGGTTGCTGGGTGTGTTATTGGACCCGCGAATTTAAAGAAGCTTCTGGTCCTGACTTTCAGGGGCTGCCAATACTTCACTATTTTTTAAGTGCCAATCCCTGGTAGGTGCGAGCCGGTTCTGCTTCCTGGAGAGGAGGAGACGTCTCCTTAAAGAAGAAAGGCACTGATCAGCTGGGCAGGATTTTACTTCAACTCCGAAAATAGGTCTGGAACGGCCTAGGGACCTGGTGCTCCGTGCAGACTTGTTCGCACCACTGGGGAGCTCACACCCTGGTGGGAAACTTGCAGTCTGCTCAAGGTACTTGAATATAGAATTGTGCCCAGAAAGCGGAGAAGATGAGCTTTTGACCCAACCTGAGGTTCCGGCAATGGGAGATCGGACTCTAGGGCGTCTACAGAGACAGGATAAGAGAAAATCATAAAGATACTATTCTAAGTACGTTCATACTGGGCCCTGAGGCAACCAGGGTGGTTAGGATTTAGAATTATGTTCTGAGGATCTAGAGTGGCCTTCAACAGAGTTAACTAGGACTGTGACGTGGTCAGATTTTAAGTTTTTAAAGATGGCTCTGAGAACTGGGGGAAGGGAAGAGGACAAGTTCATGAGTTCACTCTATTTATGCAAACTATTTTTGAGCCCTTTTTGTGTATAAAAGCCTGCCCAAAGTGTAGAAGCTTGCAGAGACAAAAATACGTTGTCTTTATATGATTTAAAACCTAATGAAGGTTGGGCAAGAGAAGAGAACAGCAAACTAACACTGTAGAATTAAATTGATCCTGCAAGGAAAACTCAATAGCTGTGGGAACTCTGAAAGAAGTAATTAATTCTGAGGGTAAAGGTCGGGTAAGGAGATGGGGGAGATTTCACAGAGAAGGAAGCATTTGAACCAGCTCTGAAGAAGTAAAATTTTGTCTGTTAGTGTTGGGAGCAGAAGGCGGGAGGTTGGGTAGTGATGAGGGAAGCCGGTAGAACAGGATCTGTGTGCCAGACACTGAGGAATCAGCAGGCTAGGGCTCCTGTGTGAGGGGAGGGGTTAGAAGAACAAACAATAAACAAATAGCAAAAAAAAAAAAGGATTTCTAAACAAGAAATAATTAGAAAGTGACAAGTGCTATACATTGAAATTAAAATGGAACAATGCTTTGCAACCTCCAGTCCAATTGAATCTATTTTCAATCTCAGATCTTGCTTTTTCAGTTTTGTACTTCTTCCCCCACCCTCATGCTGTCCTAATTGAAGGCTACTTTTTGAAGATGGTACTTCCTCCAGGACTTTACAGACCTTCTTCCCCCGTCAAGCCTAAGTTAGAGACTGCTTCTGATCCACAGGAACCTACACTTTTCCACTGACGATGAGTTGGTCTCTATAAAGTAAATACATGCATGCTTTTCATTCAGATTCCTAAAGTTCTGCTCATAAAAAGAATTTTTACTAAATGTGTACCCCAAAAGAGTTAAAGTTAATGCAGACTTCTTCCCTCTCTTTTTCATACAATAAAGCCCTGAAGGAAGTCAGACAAATCTGACCTGACTAGAAGTTATACCTAGGCCTTTATTAAGGCCTAATTAAGTATACTTACAAAAACTCAGTCACAGCAATGAGCATAGTTCCCCTGGATACATATAAATCATGAAATCTTGGCCCTATTACTCAAACCACAAATTAAGAAGGATGAGAGAGCATGAATATACAAGTGGAATTTTTACAGAATCTTAAATTTTTCATTAGACTCACAATTACTATTGCCAAGGGACTATACACAGATAGTAAGGAAATAATACAATTTACTGCCATTAGCATTACTTTTTCACAATCACACTAAAACCAAATCACTTTTCTGCCCCACACCTGCCATCTATCTGTTCAGGGTTCTTCCTACAGCTGTGCTAAACATCAACCAAAGAGCAGTGCCAGATGCAGTCCACCCAGAGGTTTTGCTTGGCTCAAGAAGGGAGATTTTGGTTTCTTTGAAATCTGAGTTGGCATTTTTAAATTGGGAGAATTTACTTGTTTAATACTCAGGATTTCCAGCTTTTCTTAAAAAATGGGAAAGTCTGGCAATGAGCCACAGCAATTTCTTGGAAATCGGGCTAAGCACTCCAGTTCACCAGGCTGTCACCACACACATGCTGTGAACAAATAAATGCCCCACAGCCAGACTGCTTGAAGGCATTTGAGTTTTCTACTTGTTAGTGTAAGAAACATCCCAACCTGCAGAGAATTTTTATAAGCTTTTTTGGTCCAAACTGACTACATATGCCAGGGAGCAAGATCTCAAATGCTTCGAATAACAGTTTTGCAGCTTCTGCATTTGAAATTAAGGAGGGGATGTAAGGATGATTACATGGAGGTAGGAGAAAGCAAGGCAGGAATTAACTGGATTACAGGATAGTAACAAGATTATGTGATCTCTTGAGGGTTAATATATCTTTTAAGGGGAATTACTTCTGGTATTTCACAGATGTGTTGATCTAGAGCAGCGGTTCTCAACCTGTGGGTCGAGACCCCTTTGGGGGTCAAACGACCCTTTCACAGGGGTCACCTAAGACCATCGGAAAACACATATATAATTACATATTGCTTTTTTTTTTTGTTTTTTGTTTTTTGTTTTTTTTAAATATATTTTATTGATTTTTTACAGAGAGGAAGGGAGAGAGATAGAGAGTTAGAAACATCGATGAGAGAGAAACATCGATCAGCTGCCTCCTGCACACCTCCCACCGGGGATGTGCCCGCAACCCAGGTACATGCCCTTGACCGGAATCGAACCTGGGACCTTTCAGTCCGCAGGCCGACGCTCTATCCACTGAGCCAAACCGGTT